CTCTGGGCCTGAATCTGGCCCTGGCCCTAGAAGCGTGTACCTGGCCACAAAACGGACAACAGTACACCCGTTAGAAAAACAGCAGCAAATAAATAAAATAAAGACTATAAAAATAATCTAAAGCTGGCGTTTTTCTGATGCAGGCCCAAGTAAAAATGCCATAGGGCCTTCAGGTTGCGGTGACGCGACCTGGGGGCCCTATTCCAACCTCGGGTCCCGTGAGGGGCCCGTGTGTAGGCTTTCAGCATGTAACATCTACAGACCTAGGGATCGAGTCTTACAGAGATCGCTGGGCCTATGTACAGGGTAAAGGGTAGGTCTAGGGATCGAATCTCACTCAGCACACAGGGTCAATGTAGAGGGTTTCAGGTCTAGGGATCGAATCTCTGTGTCTGCAAGTGTCGGGTCTGCTGGGTGAAACCATTTCATTCCACTTTTTCTTATTCTTTTCTTTCCTTTTACTTTCTCTTTAGAGGCGACGGACGGCCTTGAGATAACATCTTTGAACCGACCAGAACCGACCAGGCGCAGGTACTTGTAGAGTTATTTTACCCTGTTCATCTGATTGCAAGTGTGTTCGAACTCGGGTTCATGGGGTGGGTGTACCAATTGAGTTAGGCTCGTTGGTGTGGTTCCCCTTTTAAACACCGTGTCCTGGCGGTTGCGGTTAAGAGACTTGGCTCTTGCAGCCTAGGGTGCCGGTTCGAATCTTTGCGTGCATGGAGGGGCCAGAGCCCTAGATGCGCAGATCGATAAGTGTGCGCGAGTTGCGCACGTGTGGCGCATAGCACACGCGCACGCATGCGCGCCCACGTGATGGGGCACACCCCAATAATTGGCTTGATTAAAAAAATTGGAAAGGGCAGGCTGTGGAACCCACATGCTCCCCTCCCTTCTGAAAATTGTAAGTGCACAGAAAAAAATAAAATAAAATGGGGCCACACTGTGCTCCTCATTGGATCCAGTCTCTTTTCCGAAGGCCCCCCAGCAAAGAACCAGCAGGGGTCCCTTTTCTTTAAACAGAGGCGTTCATCAAATTTCAAGTTCGGCACGGGCAGGCCAGCAATATATGCTCTGGATTCAAATTCAGGTCCGTGGTCCAGCAGTTATGGGTTACTACCACTTGCTACAGTAGCACTCTCTTCTTTTTGTTTTCCTTTTCTTACGTGCAGTGGCCCTAAGGGCCTCGATCCACTACCGTCTTCACCCGAATAGAACGCCCGGTCATTATAGCTGTATGTGGCACAACTTTCGGTCCAGATGCAGCAATAATGACCGGGCATTCTATTCGGGTGAAGACGGTAGTCACCAATTGCACAAAAGACAAAACATATGGCGGCGTATGGTTCCATGTTCTGACAGATGATTCATTCTAGTTTTGCACATTTGGTGAGTAGTGGAGGAAAGGGAAGCCCTGACAATCACGTGCTGAGTTAGCATGTAAGTAACCCATAACTGCTGAACACGGACCTGAATTTGAATCTACATCATAGACCCTCCTTTGTTGTTCTCTTCTCCCTCCCTCTCTGCCTTCGGTTTACCAGGCAGCTCTGTTCGACGATATATAGTTGGCCTGCTACTTCCCTCCCGTATGTCCAATGCCTTTCTGTTTCTCCGTGAGGGGACCCCTGCTAATTATCTGCAGGGGCCTTTCGGATTACCCGCAGGGTTTTTCTGAGTTATGTGAAAGGGCTCTTTGCTCTCTCTCTCTCTCTCTCTCTCTCTCTCTCTCTCTCTCTCTCTCTCTCGCTCGCTCGCTCGCTCGTGCGTGCGTGCGTGCGTGCGTGCGTGCGTGCGTGCGTGCATGCGTGCGTGCGTGCATGTATACACACATCACGGCATGCGCGCGCGTGTATACACACATCCCGGCCGCTTCTTTCTTTCTTTTCTTTCTTTTTCTTTTTTTTTCCTTTTTGTTGGGCGCATCAGCTATGAGCGCATCGCACCGCGCGCACCGCACATATACGCTGCAAGTATGCTACCAACCAACAGGAAACATCTCCTCAATTCAGCCAGAAAATTTTCATCAGGGACAAAACTGGAGACACCCTTTTTTTTTCTTATGAAAAAGAGTTTGAAGCCATTTTTTTTTCTTATTAAAACAAGAGTTGAATCTTAGAATTTATTTTATTTGCATCTTTTTTTCGAACAAAAGTGAATCCACTCTTTTATGTTTTTTATTGTCATTGAATTAGTTATACCTGAGTCTCAATGTTGTCGAGCATTTCACCCTGCGCTTCGACGAGGACAGCCATATCAAGAAAGATCTACAAAACCATAAAGACAATACAAAGACAGAGCGATCATATCCACCGTCAAACAATGTGATGATAAAAATTTAAAAACAGAAAAGAATTGAAAAATAAAACGACTTAGGAAAACTACTGCAAGGAATATGAGCGAGAGCGATAGACAGAAATCCAAAATTACAAAATCACGAAGTAGCCCAGATAGTCATGTACCAAGCAGAGATCAAAATGCACCGGGACCGACATACCATCCACATAAGAGCAATACAATGAACTCGTACGTCAATGACAACGCTCTCTGGCCACACCGACACAGTACCCAATGTCGCCCCTACTGATTGGCGCCGAACGCCCAGCCTACACTACTCAGTCTATCTAGCCTATAACTACATTCAAGCAGCAGGATCACATCGAAGTTGAAGACCAATGTACGTGACGTCATGACCAATGCCGACCACCAGCACACACCAGGTATGCTCTCTCTCCTCCTCCCCTCATCACCCCATGTCTTCCCCCCACTGCATGCGCCTCCTACCCGAAGACCACCATCACCGCGCCTGCACCCCAGCAGCCCGGCTATAACCCGTGCGCCCACTGCCTCGGCAGCACCCCTCTCACCTCAGCGTCCATGCGCGTGTCTGGCCCGCAGCCTAGCGCAGCAGCTCATGCGTTAGTGCATCAGTGTGGCCGCATTGTTCTGCCAGGTCACAATGTTGTGCCCCTGCGCTCTCACTGTCCTATACGGAAAGTGTGCCCTGGCGATGGCTGTTCTGGGCCTAGCGTGTAGGGGCCCAGTAGCTTCAGGTGGGCCCACAGTGTCTGCGCCTAAGCCCAGTTTCAGATACTAACGTGGGCCTCGTGCAGTTAGGCACGTCCAGGTCGAGCCCTGCAGGTTCCGAGAGTTTGCCACCTTCTCACTGGCTCGTGGTAGATGTGTGACGACAAGGCTGCATTCTCGTTGGGGTCCGCGGCCACACTGCGTGATGTGTCGTCCTCCCACTGCGTGTGCCCAGGGTGCAACCACCTGAGCCCTGGGCTCAACTGTACTCAGCGCAGCTGTTGCCTTCTGGAAGAAGCCACACAGAAGGCTCACTTTGCTCTGTAACCAACTGGCGTGCTGCAACTGTCCGATACCCTACATACTAAAAATGTTGCAAATAGGCCTCTCGTGGATGTACAGGGCCGCCTTCAATTAGGGTGTGCACAAGGCTTGCTGGGGCCGACAAGGCCTTGCGAGAGCTCAATCCTCGCACTAATAAATTTCCAAAACCAAAAAAGAGAAACAGAAACGCATGGTGCTAAAATATTTCCGATAACCGATATACAGTGTCGTGTGGCCAACTCTACACAAGCAACATGAATACGCAGAAGGACGCTCCAGTGTGACAATCCTCTGTTTGCCTGAGACATCAAAAGAAAACAGAAAATGGCACCATCCACTCCCCAAGGACAGGAAAGGTACCAGACAGCCAAAGGTTTTGGAAGCGCTACACCCAACGCCACCCAAGGATAGGATGCATTAACGAAAAAAGGCAATGCTACCCCTGCTGCTTCATATGGATTTGAGTACGACACATGGGCACTATGTGCACACCTCCCAGAGAACACACACATACCAACACACACAACAAACACATCTACAAACAAAGCCACACTATTTTAGGTCAATTATTTTTTCATTCTTAGCATTTTTGTTGCATTAGCCTACAAAAAAAATAATCGATCTTTTTTTTGTTCACTTTACTTTCTCGTTTGTGGAGTTGTGTTTATCTAATCTGCAAAACACACGTACACACGCACACACACGGACACACACACACACACTGTCACACACACACACACACACACACACACACACACACACACACACACACACACACACAAACACACAAAGC